TTTAGTAATAACTTAATCTTATAATTTATTCTAGGGCGGTGTAATAAAAGCTTATTAGTAATAACTTTATTAAATAGAGACAGAAACTTGTAATATTACTTAGGAAGTCTAGTCTAAGGATTTATAGTTTCTTTAGGTTTCAGGACTTTCTTAATATCTCTTAATAATATTATAAAGACTTTATAGTCTCTTTATTTGCTTAAGTAATTAAAAGTTATTACTCTTATTATAATTAGTATTACAGTTATATTTATAACTTTTATTTATCTCTAGACTTAAGGTTTATTATTTTATGCTTTTTATATAACTTTAAAAGTAATAAAGTATCTTTTGTTCTTTTAAAGGTAATAATTATAGCAGTATTCTATATTATATATAATAGTCTTTAGTACCTAATTTATTATTAGATTATATTATTTAAGCTAGAGTATTCTAAAAATAATATTATATTTTAGTCTAAGGATAACAAATATTAATAGGACTTCTTAATAGATATCAGAAGGTGCAGAAGACAAGGGAACTTTAATAATATAGGTTATTATAAAGGCCTAATTATTAAAGCCTACTATAGTTTTTTAACTTTCTAATTTTTTATAAAAGAAGAGTTACGCAAAAGCTTTACTAATATATACTATTATAAAATAGCTAGAGTTAATTAGGGCTTACTATTTAAATTATTTAATGCTATACTTAATTAAGAGGCACTTAGAATTAAGAAGAAGGTCTGCTAAATATAAAGAAATAGAACTTAATTATATTGCTAAGCTATCTACTATATTAGTAGTAGTTAATCTCTTCTTAATTCCTTAAACGCGACTTAATTCAGGATTACTTTATTTAATAACTTTATATTAATATAATTGCTAGATAAAGGAAGAAGGACAAGAGAGGCTAAAGTAATAAGTGTAATTGCTTATAAGGTTACTAGAATAAATACTAGAGTTAAGGATACTATAATAGGTATAAAAGAGACGATACAAAGGTTGCTTTGTAGCTTTGGCTTTAGCTTTTTTGGGCATGTATTAGCTCTGTAGTCTAGGCTTATACAGTAATAACAAAGGCTTAGATTACGTTAATATTCTTGTTTGGCTTTGTGTTTGTTAAAGGCTTTGTAGACTAAGTGATCTATGTCTATAGGGTCATAGGAAATAAGGGCAGGTGTGATAGGACAGACGAGGGCTAGAATTAAGATAGTTAAACTTATAAGCGGCTTTTATAATCTGATTATCTATTATAATAGCGCAGTATATAGTAAGTTGTTCTGCTAAGTATACTCTTAGACAAAGGCTTTATATAACATGTCTCTAACGTTAACTATAGCTAACTTCTCTGTGAGTTCCTTAGATAGTGTAAGTTAGAGCAGTCCCTTAAGACTATAGTCCTGAAATAGCGTTCTTCTAGCAGTCTGCTTGAACTCCGGATAGAATTCAGAGAAGGGCTAGTGCGTTTGCCTCATCTTTACAAGATAGTAGATAGTAGAGTACTCTAGGTCAGTATTACTAAAGTTAAGCTTTAGTTTTTTAATTAGATCTATCTAATCTAGATAGATCTCTTTATTAATATTATCTAGAGTGATGTCTAAGGCATGATTTATAAATTAAGAGAATACGTAATAAATATATAATATAAGTATAAGATATCTATTAGTATTAACTTTAAATTTTGAAGTAAGGCTTACTTTAAACCTCTCTAGGTCTTTATAAATATTAGGCTTTAAACTACTAAATATAGAAATGTTTATAATCTTTTCTGACTTCGCAAGTATATACTAAAGTTATTAATTCTAATACAAGACTATAGTTATTGCTAACAAGATCTGAGCTATTAGGCCTTAAGTTAGATCTTAGGCTAGGTGCTTAGAGGACTAGAGAGTATAAATTAGAGCCAAACTATATATAGGAATAGGTATATAAAAGGGTTCTTATAGGTTAACTATATTGTTGTTAAGACGTATTCGGGCGTTAGCTATAGCTTCTATAGATAAAAAAGACTTAAGGGAGATCTCAGACTCTTCTAAGGAGGAAGGGACGCGGAATAGGATAAAAGAAGGAGAGGCAGTAGTTCTTTTACTGCCTAGACTGAGTAACAAGGAATAATAATAAGGGGAAAATAGGTTAAGGCGGACCTAAGGACCAGAAGATAAAAATAAGTGAGACGCTTCGTAATGTCAGAAGAGCTATGGTTGGGCCTAATATACAAGACGAAGCGTAAAGAAAAGGAAACGAAAGTGGGAACACAACGCTCTATATACATGTCCATGCCCCTTATCTCGCTGAGGCCAGGTACAGACAACTGTGGGTACCTGTCATCAGTGATGGCTAGAATAGCGGCAGGGAGCTAGGTCTGAGATGAGCTTTGTGAGCCATGGTCAGTGCTATAAGGAATATGGTCCTTAGCGTAGGTCGCAGGAGGATTTGTAATAGTTATTATTTTTATTAGCTTATATAAGAAAAATGCTAAGAAATATTACGTAATACTCTGACTTAGTAATGCTTTCTATCGTCTAATCTCTGCTAACACAGCTTATTATGTTCGTTATTCCTTTTGCTATTTCTGTTAATTTCTGCTATATCTAGTCCTTTCTGCTTCTTCTATTGCTTTTTATATCTCTTATAACGTTTATTATACAGCGATAGCGGCTATAGAGACTTACTGCTAATAATAAGGGCAATAGAGATAACAGAACTTGCAAAGAAGAGCATTAGTATAAATAGAGAGTAATATTTATTATTTTAAGCAACAGAGCAGTTGCTTTAGGATAGAAATACACGCATTTCTATTGCCTTACTGCTGCTCCCTTTAATAGCTTATAAAAGACCTTAATATATTAAGAAGATATAGCACTAAGATTTAGTATTAACTAAGTATAGTAACTAATAATCTGCTTCTCTTTTAATACTTAGTTGTTCTATAAATAAGTTTACTCTAGATTTTTAAGATGCTTTAGCAGCGCCTATTAGTTTTAATCAAGATTTATTAATATTTAACTTATTACATAGGCATAGTAAAGCTAATTTAGACTTTCTTTAATTAGTGTTCCTACCTTATTCTTTCTATTAAGCTCTTCTAATGTATATTAATTAGATTTATGAAAGTAAGTTATTATAGCCTTTCTAGCATACTAAACATAGATTTAAAGAGTTAAATCTAATATAAATTTGAAGAAGTTAAGAAAGGAGAGAAGATTATTAGCTTAATCTGCTATAATAATAGCAGGATTTAGGGTATTAATAAAGAACTTCTTCTTTAAATACTTAAAAAAGAAGTTAAAAGATTTAGTTATCTTACTAAGATAGTAACTAAATATAATAGGTAATATAGCTTTTAAGTTCGTCTCTCTAATAGTAATAAGAAGTAGTAAGCAAAGATTATTTGTATTAAATATATTATTAATAATAAGATAATAGCTAATAATAAATTAATAAGCTAGCTAAACTAACTCTAAATATTAGAAGAAGATTTGAATTAGCTTACTATCTATTATCTTTGAGTTTTCTTTCTTTGTCTTTATCTAATTATTTATTTAAAGTTGATAAATAAAGCCCTTATTATTAAGAGCTTTTAGTAGCCTAGATATTATATTAGCGTTTACTTTATTTAGTTACTAATATCAAAAAATATTATAATAAGTCTATAAATTTATAATTAGCTTATTTCCTTTCTTTTTTAATAGTTAATAGGTTTAATAATATAATATTTTAACAGATTTAAGCATTAGAGCTTAAGCGCTTTATTATTAATAGCTCTCTAAGTTAATTTCTTATAAGCTAAAAAGCTAAATAAGTTAAGAGGGAACTTATAGATTTAATAAACTTGTTGCCTTTATATACTTTTATATATTTATTTCTTAGAATATTTATTAATTAATTATTTAGATAAATAATACTTTATAAGATAGTTAAATTATTTAACTATTAAATTTCTTTGTCTGGCTATTAAGATAGCTTCTTCTTAATTCCTTACTACTTTATCCTTTAGCTAATAATTATTCTAGCTATTTAAGCTATAAAATTTATATTAAAACTGCTAGCTAGGAGTATTGCTAGATTAGTAACGTCTTATTACAAACAGATAGCTATTAGTAAATCCATAAGCATTTAAACGCTTAAGGTAATGTTAAGGAGACTCAAACACTTCCTTATTTATAGGCTTTGCAATCATCTTTAAAGGATAAGAGTTGATCTTTGTTAGCTATTTGTTACACAGCTCAACAGGAAGAGTATAATATGTTGAGGTTTCTTCATAATCAATGATCAAGGCCATAATAGAGGGGTTCAAAGGCAATTAAGGTCAGATTTAGAGGCACAGAGACACAAAGAAGGGCTGTCAAAAGGCAGGAAAAGCATATATGAACATGCCTACAAATTCTCAGCAGTGGCTAACCCTTGAACAGCTCAATCATCAACTATTTAGCCTTCCCGACGGCAGCAAGCTTCCCCGGGCTCCTATTTGAGATTAGACAGCCAAACTCGCCGCAAAGCGAACGTGCAGGGGGTGACAGCGAGCTCACAGGGCATTTCGACGACAGCAGGCCCAGCAGCCGCCGCAGGGCCCTCCCCCCCCAAAAAAGGCACCACAGAAAGAGCAGCAACGGAGGCAGTTGAGCACTTTGTAGTTCCTATTTGAGCTGACCAATGAGAAGCTGCGCCAAGGGGGCGTTGCCAAGAGGGGGCGTTGCCAAGGGGGCGGTCCCGAATGGCTCTCCATAACGTTATGATGTCTTACATAAGCGGGTTAGGTGGAATTCATACTCCTCCTACTCCTACTCCATACTTGGTGATCCGCTTTACTCATCTTTCTCGTTGCCACCTTGTCTCTCTCACTACTCGAGACATCCTGTACTATCTATCAGGCTCAGGCTCAGGCTCAGGCTCGCTATCTCAAGCGATGTCACCGCCTACAAGACCTCGTCAGAGGAAAGCCAGCGTCCTGGCTGCTCCATCTAGATCTGACGATCCCGAAGAGAGAAAGCGCATCTTGAATGTTTTGGCGCAACGTAGATACAGTATTTCACTGCGCTCAATTCAGACTGCTGTTCTTGCCACTGACCCTAGATCAGGGAAACGAAAGAGAGAGCACGTCAAAGCTCTAGAGTCTCAATTGGTCGGGAAGACTTCAGTTGATGCAGCTTCCCAGCAGAATATCATAACAGATGTCGAGAACGACCTCACAGCTAGCACCGGTCTGCTAGAAGAATCGTCACAATCTCAGTCATCTTGTGAAAGAGCTGCATCCGGAGACTGGCCTGCCGCTCTCGGTACGACCAACAACCCACCAGCCTGCACACAAGCGTCCTTGTATTCATCGCAGACAGCACTCTTCTCAGATATGAGTCAAATGAGCCTTGGTGCTGAAGCAGAAGATCAGCCTGGTACTGATTCCTCAAACGATCAAGCACCAGCAGAACTTTTCACGCAGCCGCGCGTCACAGCGCCTGAGCTGGCAATGCTTGACTGGGCTATGTCTTCGGCGTTAGACAACGGCCCGGCATATGTCCCAGCCCCAAATCAACCACTCTCACCATGGACCTGGGACCCTTTAGTGTTTCTACCGTCGATTAGTCTCCCTTCTACACCCGGCCCGGACCTATCATCCCGAGATAACGAATCAACGCCCCAAACCGACCCGTCGTCCTCCTCCTCTTCCTCATCGCCAGACTCCGCATCCGCCTCCCCACCCAAAAATCCGCATTCTTCCACAACTCACGCAGACTACACCGACACCCTACAAACCTACTGCACAACCCACGACACCCTCGCAGACGCCCACTTCCTCGAGTCCCACGACCTCAAACTCCTCCACAGCTTCCTCTCCATCGCCTCCCTCTTCAATCTAGACCTCAACACAGATATCTGGTCCCTCACCGCCTCCTCCCCCTTCTACTCCCCTCCCGGCTCCCTCCCACCTCCGCTCCCCCCCAACCTTCCCCCCAACCTGCACCCAACCTCCATCCCACTCACGACCCCGCATCACCCGATCATCGACATCCTCCCCTGGCCAGTGGCCCGCAACAAACTGATCCTCGTCTTCTCCGCACCTCCTCATCTCCGGCCCCCACAGGCGCAACCGGAAACCGCGCTCATCGACCTAGTGTACGATATCGAGGATAGTAGTGAAGGGGTGAGGATGTGGGGGGAGAGTCCGTTCAAGGAGGAGAGCTGGGAGGTCGGCAGTAAGGTGTGGGGTAAGTGGTGGTGGGCTTTTGATGGGGCGATCGTGAGGAAGAGTAATGAGTGGAGGAGGCGTAGAGGGGTTGGGAAACTAGGGATGGGAATGGGAATGGGAATGGGAAGTACGTCTGGGAATGTAGTTGGTGAGGTAGGCTGACCTTTGAGAGTGAAAGGGGGAAAGGGGTGAGTGGGCCCGGATAGGGGATGCCAAGGCTCTGGCTACAGGGAGCCGGAGTATGGGTTTCAATATTTGAAACCATCAATTCGGAAGCTCCATCAGCTATACTCCGTAATGTACATAACTGCCACAGAAGCGTAACTCAAAGATGAATACTCTACTTACCATCCCGCTTTCCCACCAGCGTAAACCAGAAAAATATCATCCCCAGCAACCACTCCTCTACCAGTAAAACCGAGACTGGATTCCACAAGTGAAGCCGTCACGAACTAAAACCCCCTTAGCAACAAGTACATACATACGCACATTCTGACATCGTTATTCCATTCTATTCTGAACCGGAAGCTGCCCGGGCTCATACATACCATACCATACCATGCCATAGCAGTGCGTGGAAGTGTCACCGTAGTAACCAGTAGTGACTCGGAGAGGGAATCAGATGACTTCGAGCTGCTGAGATCCCGGTTTCGAGTGGGGATATAAGATACATGACCACTTTACTTCTTTTTATTTTATACCATCAGACCGAGAACAAATTCAGGAGTCAGGAAGAGTGCGTCGTTGGATTCTTTGGGAGAGAGGGAGATGAAGCTTTTGAGGAGTTTGGCATTGTAGGAGGAGGAGGAGGAGGAGGGCAGTCTGCAGTCAGAGTTTTTGGCACAATACGGAGCGGATCGGAAAACTTAGCAATAGAGAGCAGAAGCACGCATGCACGCATGCACGCATTTGACTGGCTGGGCTACTCTCTGGAGTCTCGCGCACCTTTCATCTGTGCCTGTCCGTGTGCGTCGATCTAGTTGTACAAGTCATCGTCGTCGTCGGTCTGACCCTCCGTCTCAGTCTCAGTCTCGCTCTCGCTCTCCACCACCACCGCCTCGTCCCTTTCCATCTCCATCTCCGTCTCCGTCTCCGTGTCCACCTCCGTGTCCACCTCCATCTCATCCTCAGTTACCTCGAAATTCTCCTGGTCCGTCGCATTCGCATCGCAACAGATCATCTCGGAACGGCTCATCTTCCTCGCTCCGCTACGACGAGGCATCTTGCGTGGACCGCCTTCTCCTACGTCACCACCACTACCACCACCATGACCGACACCGCCAGCTCCAGCAACAGAAGAACCTGGTTGCGAGTCCTGCACCATGGAGGCAGATCTCTTGCGCGACTGGACAGCCGCCTCACGCGGGTAGTAGCCATAGCGGATGACTTCGTCGCCGTGGGAATCGTGGGTTCGGATCACGTCGAGCGCGAAGCCGGCGTATTTAGTCTGGAGGGCTCGGACGGCTCCAGAATACATGAAGCGGGGGTGGGTGCCAGGTACTATGGCGGTGTAGTTTTGGTACTGTTGACAAGTCAGTTAGTTAGTTCGTAAAAGGGATTGATGACGTGGGGAACTTACGAGATGGTAAATGTTGGCCAATGGATTCACATACTCTGCCCAGCCAGCTTCGTAGTTGTTTTCCAGGATTTGACCAGCATGGTTTTTCTTGATGAGCTTGTTTTTGAGCAGCGTCTGCATGATAGGGCTTGTCATCAAGTCTTCCGGATCGCCTCCGAACCCTAGGTAATTGGTCAACAAGGCAGTACGAGGCATAGCCCATCGAGATTGTGCAACTCACGCAATGCTTCGACCAAGCCGCTGTCGTCCACTGGTACGCCGAGTTTTTGCGCTTCGAGGTATTTAAGTACCTTCCGGCACTTAACAAGAGTAGGCATCCAGTCATTGAGGGCCTTCTCTTTTGGCAGAAGAAGACAGCTGTAGCAGAAGTGATCTACGGGACGGCGGTCCTTTGCGATGTCCTCCCAGCCATAGCAGCTCGCATGTTGTAAGGTGCCGCAGAGCTCACAGTCAAGCTGTTATCGTCAGCAACATCTCCACAGTATATTTCACAGCATCGACGAACCATTGCGTTCGTAGCCGTTTTGTTAGTGCATTCGCACTTGACTTCATCAGTGGATTCTAAGCGACGAATCTGGTACTTTTCTAGGAGAGCTTGGTCGAAGAGTGGATCACCGGCTGGACAACGCTGCTGGACAGCCGTGGCATGCACGATCAATTCAGCCATTTTGGTTGGAACAAGCACCGATTGTTTGAACTCTTCTTGGCGCGTGTGCTTTTGCATGCTCTTGTCCGAAAGCTGCTCTGTACCATCGCTATCTTCATCATCAGTATCGTCTGAACGGAGGAGACTTTGAGTCGGCATCAAGTCCTGCGGCCTGGAAGAACTGCGCTGCATCTGTTGCAGAGCTTGCTTGGTTCGTATGTCGTCTCGCGTCTGAGTCGAGGGAGCTGCCGAGGACGCCATGATCCCACCGGGAGCCGAACGCTGAGAAGGTTGTGGCAGCGGAGGGGGTGTTAGGTTGATCTTGTACTCATCGAGGCGCGAACACTTGGTGGAGTAGTCCATTACCTCCGGAATCACCTTCAAACAACTCATATCAAGACCAGCCGGACTGACATGACTGACTACCACTCCAGTACGATATGTCCCAACAACAAGACCAGCAGTCTTTTCGGATTTCTTAGCTAATTCGATACCACCTGGAAAATGGATAACGTCGTCGATGCAGCTCTCAAAACCTTTCGGCTCGTAGGTGGCTGGGCAATCATCAGTGTAGAAGAGATTCAGTCCTAGGTTTCGGCGACCTGATTCAATAAGTATGAAGCTTCCTACAGAAAGAAATCATCACTCACGAGGAAGTGGTGGTAGACGAAGGACCACTCTGAGAAGGCCTTTGATTGCTGCATTGAAGCTCAGTTGTGCATCTTCCACAAAGAAGGCAGGTTGCGGGCCGGGCGAAACTGTGACACTGCTAACACCACGGCGGCTTTGTCCTGGTGCAGAATCGTAGGTGAATGTGAAAGTGTAGCATTCCATGACTTCAGAGGGGCGGCTGCTGTCTGCACAGATGGAGAGCTGGACCGCTTCAAGGTAACCGCGGTGCAATGCATGAAAGATTCCACCCTCCTGCAGATGGGTCAGTTACGCGATTAGGCAAGTGATCAAACACCAACCAAAAGTGTCAAGATTTTGTCCGCCTTTTCACTTCTGCCCTCCATAAGAACCTTGAAAACTTGAGAATTATTGTCTTCAGTTGGAATTTTCCGCTCCAGAAGATCCCTGTAAGTCACCGGACCAGATGCATCAAACAGGTCAGCAACACAACGCTCTGAGTAGGCGGGAGAGCCATGTCTGATGAGTTCTCGACTGTACAGCACTGAGGCGATTGCCCCATGCAAGAATATCTCCACAAGGGACAGACTTTGATCAAAGCGAATTGCGGTAGTCTGCATGGGCTCATCCGCTTGTACAAATGAAGGCTCTTCTTGCTGTGGAGTACCCTTAGGCTGTCCAACACCTCTTCCTTTCCCATGACGACGGCGTAGGAGTGCTGATTTCATGGTGAGATGCTCTGGTTGTAACAACAGCTGAGATGGCTAAGTCGATCTATCATCAGACAAGATCAGCATGAACTGCACGCCAAATGAGAAGATCCACAGATTGGCCACAAACCTCACGTGAGTCCTGATGCACAAAGTACAGACCAGAGCCAGATTCAAAGAAACCTACTGAGTCTTCCTGGTCTGAGAGAAGAATGCTGAGTTCAGTTTGTCAAAGATCCGAATTCAGGAGGTGGAGAGGGTGCAGACAGTGTAGAACACAGTGTGGGCTTGGCGACGACGAGGTAGAACACGAGGGCATAGGGCAAGACTTTGTTGCCTGTCACCTCACCTCACGATCTTGTCCAAAACGACCAAAGGGGCTTAGTGCCACACTCTTCCTCCTCAGCAGACGACGACGTCCACCACCACCACCAAACGGAACCTGCTAATCTCCATATCTTCTACCTCGTCAGATTCGGCAGCATAGAATGGTACTGCATGAACAATCCACGCTGCAGGTCTCTCCTTTGCACACGCAGCCATATCATTGCATGCTCTTTGCCCTCCCAACATCATATCGAAGTACGGCTTGGCATTGAGAGGAGGACTTCCTTCACCCACTTGATTTCAAACCACCCTCCATTTGTGCAATTCATGGCCAAAGGATCCAGAAGTGCTTGCCAGGGCTGATCTCAAGGAGACGCAATCTGCTGCTGCTGTCACAGTTCCATGGACGAGGCCTCCAGTTTCCTGTCCTCAGAACTCTGCTGCTATCACACGATTGCCAATCATTGCCAATCATTGCCAATCCTTGCCAATCATTAGCAAGCATTAAATTACCCGTCATCTCTGCCTTGATGGAGCCACTTCGAGGCGGTCTTGCTTGCTATGCTCCAGGGGAAATCCTACAGGCAAATATACAGAGAACACAACCAGTTGGGTGGGTCAGAGCATTACTTACCAGAGAGCCCAAGCTCCCAGAAGGCATTGCAGAATGCGACATGACCTCAAGGCCGCCGGCCTGAGAAGGCAGAAGCTGCTCCAGATGGCGCGCAGGAAGGGGATATGAATGCTAATACCTTGCTTGAGATGTTGTTCTCCTTGTCTGTGATATGCAGGCCACGCAGAATCAAGGTTGGGATCCTCGCATGAAGACATGAGAGAACAAGATTGACTGTTTCTGAGACGATCAGTACTAAGGCTGCCTGATTAGTAACATCCTTGCTCTCGGAAGCAGTAGGATGATATGGTTGCATCTCTACCATTGAATCTGTAGCAGAGGCAGTGTGGCGTAGGTGGAATGTGTGTGAACAGCAGGCTAAGCAGGGTGGAAATTGCATGCGCAAATCCACGGATAGATTGATGCCCGTCATCTGCCGCCACTGCCTCGCCCATCATGTCTCCGAGCACAAAGCCACCTTCTTACAATAAGGCAGAGTGCTAATCTTGCAGCCGAGGGTGGATGGTTGGCTTACTGTGCAGACGTAGTCGCTGATTTCTGGCGGTGTCAGCTGTGTCTGCAGTGGTGTCTGCGGTGTCTGGCTCCGAGTGGGGGCAATTCATCCCGAACATCTGTACCACCATTTCCACACCGACCAGCATGTGTCTTGCCTTCTCCGATTTCTACAAGGCCATGTTCGATATAGCGGACCAGCTATCCAGTGTGTAATACTGACGAATATCCGGCTTTTAGTAGACTGGTGTGCCGTGCAGTCGGTGGTTTTCTGAATTCCATCCGTGGGGCGTGTTGGTTTCGCGTCCTTCGAGTCAACCCACTTCGAAACACCAGCTGCACATGACAGAGCGTTTTCCGGTACATGCTGAGGACCAGCAGATATAGCGGAGAAGATTCTCCATATCTGGCCCCGAACACGAACACAAACACAACATGGCAGTGCCTATTACCGAGGATGACACCGACCCACTTTCTCACACTTCCAGGAGGACCGCTTCATCATCCCACAGCACCACCCCCAAAGACGCCGTCAGCTCTTCTTTTGCTTCACGATTCTCACCATCAGCTGTCTTGCAACATCAGCGGAGCAAAGACCGGCTAACCTCCACCATGGCACATTTTGGGGCAGATAGTACCCTGGGGCAATTCTCCTTTGCTCCCGCCACGCAAACCACGGTGGTGACCACAACAACTACGACGACGACAAGATTTCCTCCTTTCGTCATGAGAGCTCCAAGACGTATGCAGGACCTAGATCCTAAGCTCTACCCCCTCGCTGCGACCCCTACTCCATCTTCACTCAGGAATATCAGCTTCGACCTTCAAGGCAAGCAGACGATCTTTAAGGAGGCTGAAGATACTACTGTTGCGATGGAGGAGATCGAACAAGAGAATGAGATCCTGAAATCGAATGGGGCTGTTCAGACTGTGCAAACATTCAAGAGCGAGCCACGGGATTTTTCCAGCTCATTTGGCCCCCATCCGCAGCGATCCGCACCCAGAGAAAGACCAGCTTCGCCGGACTCAATTGTCGACCATGCCGAGCCTGGACGTAGTACTCGTTCGACAACTGCGACTCGGCGAGTTGACTCGTCCTCCAGAGGCCCGTCCTCTTTGCCGCGTCTCAGAAATTTCCGAAGGGGCGAACCGGCCACTCCAGAGATTGATCTCAGAGAGCGGCGTAGGAAAGGAAGACGTTCGCTGGTATCGAGCACCTCAGGGAGCGCCTCTAAGGTAGATGAGTCTCCGCTACCGTCCTCTGTGCTGAAGCATAACACCCCTTCTACCCTTGGATCAGCTCACGATATGGCCTCAAACCGACCTACATCTAGCCATGGCCTACAAACGACGCCTTCGAGCCGTCGACCGACCATTATCGAGACCCAGTGTTCTGCATCGGGCATTTCACATTCGCAGACCTTGATCGAAAGCATAGTGCCTACTCCTCCTATCCAAGGAGACGAACGCCAATTCGCTGTTCCTCCGGCTCGAAGGAATCTATCATCTATACCATCTAGACTAGCGGCGGTGGACACTTCAGTGGCGCAAGATGGCAGCTTACCTAGCCCCAGCCTTTCACCGGTCACAGCTGCTGCGAACCTTCAGAATGCTGGTTACTTCGCTGACATCGACTCCAATTCAGAAATGGCGTCCCAACAAGATCACGATATGAGTGAGAGCAGCCAGGCCTTTGACCCTGATTCTGCAAAGCGAATGTTCGAGTTCCCTACGCCCCAGAAAGGGCCGCAACTGCCTGAAGGATCGCCTCCCATCCCTGAAAACCTCCAGTCCTCCATTAACGATATCCCTGCTATGCTTGATTTCTTCGAGGCTATACCAGATGAACTCAAAAGCTATGTGATGCATCAGCTGCTGCGACGATGTCCAAAGCCTACTCTTCATCTCGTAGCAGATGTGGTGAATCCGGCTCTTCGGTGCGACTTTGTTGGCATACTGCCTCCAGAGCTGAGCCTTATCATTCTCAAGTACCTTGATGCGAAGAGTCTGTGCCGAGCCTCGCAGGTATCCAGGAAATGGCGTCATATAGTGAACGGTGATGAACAAGCATGGAAGGACTTGTTCGATGCAGATGGGCTTAGTCTCCCACAAGGAGAACTGAGACGAGCGATCGTCGAAGGCTGGGGGTGGCAAGATCCAGTAGGAGTCGATGGATGGGAGCAAGACATTAGCGCTGCATCCGGTACCAGATCCGAGAGCGATACATCACTTTCAACTTCCACAATGCTTTCCAACATGGGTCAGAGAAATGGTCAGCTGGCGGGGACAGGCAGTTCACGCAGACCCAAAAGGAAAGCTGCCTCGAAGCTGTCAAACCGCAATAAACAGTTGAAACGAAGAGACACCTCATCAGACATTTCCGAGAAGCTGGAATCTATCGATCTGTTGAGCCAGATGTCATCTGCGGAAGGACCCTACAATGCAGCGAATGCTGCAGCGATGGCCGTACCGTATCCCAAGGTTGGCTTGTCATCCCTCAAGGACCTTCATCTTTATAAGTCGTTGTATCGCCGACATCACCTCATCCGGAAAAACTGGATGCGCGAAGACGCAAAGCCTCGACATATCGCATTTCGAGCTCACGACCGCCATGTTGTAACGTGCCTTGGCTTTGATGACGACAAGATTGTTACTGGTTCTGACGACACGAATATCAATGTATATGACACGAAGACGGGGGCGCTACGTGCTAAACTCCGGGGCCACGAAGGAGGTGTTTGGGCGCTACAGTATGAGGGCAATGTCCTCGTCTCTGGGTCCACTGATAGGTCTGTGCGAGTGTGGGACATCGAGAATGGCCGACAGATGCAAGTGTTCCAAGGTCATACCTCGACCGTTCGATGCCTTCAAATCCTTTCACCCACCAAGGTTGGCGAAACGCCAGACGGCAGAGCCATCATGATGCCCAAGCAGTCCTTGATCATCACAGGCTCTCGAGATTCCAACCTCCGAGTCTGGAAACTTCCTCAGCCAGGAGATCCTCCGTACTCCCCAGCTGTTTCGCCTCAAGAGGATACCGACTGTCCATATTTTGTCCGCGTCCTTACCGGTCATCAGCACTCTGTACGTGCCATCGCGGCACATGCCGACACCCTCGTCAGCGGAAGTTATGACTATACTGTGCGGGTCTGGAAGATCTCGACTGGCGAGACAGTGCACCGTCTGCAAGGCCACACCCAAAAGGTCTACAGCGTTGTCCTCGACCATGAGCGCCACCGCTGCATAAGTGGTTCCATGGATAACCTCGTCAAGATCTGGTCCCTCGACACCGGATCCAGCTTGTACACCCTCGATGGCCATACTTCCCTCGTCGGCCTCCTTGACCTCCACTCTGAGCGCCTCGTATCCGCGGCCGCAGACTCAACGCTACGAATCTGGGATCCGGATAACGGCCAATGCAAAGCCACGCTTAGTGCCCATACTGGTGCCATCACTTGTTTCCAGCACGACGGTCAGAAAGTGATATCGGGATCCGATCGCACCCTGAAGATGTGGAATGTGAAGACTGGGGAGTGCGTCAAGGACCTGTTGACCGATCTCAGCGGCGTCTGGCAGGTCAAGTTCAATGAGAGGAGATGCGTCGCTGCGGTGCAGAGGGATAATATGACGCATATAGAGGTGAGGTCCAGCGAATACAGTGTGTAACAAGGCTTAGCTAACGCAATGAACCCAGGTGCTCGACTTTGGCGCCGCAAGAGACGGCGTCCCCGAATCAAAACGTGGTCAACGCATTGTAGTGGATGCGGAGGGCATAGAGATCGATCCCGATACGGCAGTCATGGAGATTGATGGTGCGGCTGATGAGCAATGAAGAAAAAACGAGTTGAAGCGAAGTGAAATGAAAGGGTTCTGTTGTTCAGCGGCATCGGTAACATCACAGCATTTGACGAAAAGCGGCATTTATTATGGCGTGTGGTTGATGGGCAGCGTTTACATTTGCGGCAAACCAACAGCAGGGCGATTGTCTCGAAAGCTACACTGCAGAAAGGCGTTATCCTTCGTTACCGGAAAAAGCAAGCAACAGGCAATAGAGCAAGCAGGCAGCAAGGATGGAGCACACCACATACGTAGCGATAGGGCTTGCCATCCAAGAACAGCGTTGGAGCCGGACATGTACTTTGAGATGCCGGAGACTCTGGGACCAAATGGTTTGTTTGCCGCTTGCATGGTTATTGTTATCACTCTTTTTTTTTCTCTTTACACATATTTCTGTCCCCAGCGCATCTCATCATACCACAAAATTACCTTACCATACATACACAGCACGGGCATTTCCATGTATCGATAGCATAGCAACAGGCAGCAGTTAACACGTTGTCTCTGGCTCTGGCTTTGGCTCTGGCTCGTCCCGTAGAACAAACCAATCCAAATCCAAATCCAAAACAACCAAGACTTCAGAAGTCAGATATCGATAGAGAGAGCATCGTTCGTCTGTCTGTCTGTCGTTTGGGCAGATTTTGTATGCACGTACGTGCTCACCTGTTCAATTCGATCTTCGACCGGCTTGCTGGGGTGACTATCTAGATGGTGATGATTATACGTCTTTATTAACTAGGTGCTAGTTGTACAGCAGTATTGTAGTGTGGTATGGTATATATGGTATCCACAGCACCCGGATCTCAACCCCAGCACCCAGCCAAAGCCAAAGCCAAAGCCAGAGCCAGAGCCAGAGCCAGAGCCAGAGCCAGAGCCAGAGCCAGAGCCAGAGCCAGAGCCAGAGCCAGAGCCAGAGCCAGAGCCAGAGATCGAGCTCGAATTGTTCCCCCCCCTCTCCCTGAGAGGAGGGATATTTTCCAAACAAACACTTACAGTACCCCGGCAGAGAGAGCACACCCCCTCCCTCTGTATAACTGACATAATATACACAACACAACGACATTCCCCATCCAGCTGCGAAAAGATCACCAGCCCACATTGCCCGGGCGAGCCAACGCCCTCGCCTTGGCGGCGGCTTTGAAAGCGCCCTTGGCCTTGCCATGTCGCATCCTGATCACTTTCTCCTTCTTCATCTTGTTCTTCTCCCTTTTCTTTTCGCCATCCACTCCATCAGCTCGACCGCTTCCTCGACCGCGCCTGCCCCTGCTGGTCAGCATCCTTGGGGGTGGTGGACGGCTGGCGTAGTTCGTTGCGGGATTGGGTGGTGGAGGGGGTGGGGGGCTGCTCGTGTAACTCGACCTCGTTTCTGTTCCTGGGGAGTGACGTTCCCGCGCTCGGTAATCGGCGTCGGTGGCCTCGGCAGCTCTCCTCGACGCGGTTTTTGCGATTCGCTCGCGTGTCAAGGTGGGTCTCCTTTCCAGATGGTCGGACATCTGGACTGAATTCTTGGCTGCTGGTGATGCTGCTTTGCCGTCTTTCTTGGAGGAGCGGAGATCGGAGGGAAAGCCTTTGCGGCTGGAGGTGGATGATTTGGAGGGCAGTTGGGCTTCTAGTTCGGCGAGGCCGCCGACTTGGAAGGACGCCAGACGGGCGGGCACAGGTATGCGTTCATGGTGCTGTTTCGCTTTCTTCGCGAGGGGACGGCTGTCGAGTCTGGCGAGGGCGCTGACGCGGTGGTATTCTGCGGTTGAAGATGAGGTGGAGCTGGACTCGGAGGAGGCGAAGAAGGGAGTGCGTTCAGCGCCTGCCTTTTCTTCGTTCGTCGGGGTACGGGACGATGGTGGAGAGGAGTCGTGCGGTTGGGTTAGGGCGGAGGATGGTTGTTCGCCATCGTCTAGGTGGTGGTCTCCAGATTTCCATGGAACCATGACCCCGTCATCTCGCATGAGTGGTTTAGAGTCTGTGATGTCTGTCCGTTTTTCCTTATTCGCCCTCGTGATAGCCCATTGTTCCAGACCTGCAGCAACCAGAACTGCCCATCGAACGCGATCAATACCTAACATGTCCTGCTCCTTGATCTTAACGCTCTTCTTACTATCCCCTAGATGTCCAACAGCCAAGATCTCACCGAGCCCGTCAAATCCTTTGCCAGCATCCGGCTGTACAATCTCCCTCCTGACCAGCTCAAAGAACGCTTGAAGTTTTTTGTTTCCTCCTCTTTCAAGCAACCTATCCGCCTTGCTCACAACGACCTGATAGCTTATCCCCTCGTTCCTCAGCAATTCTACCATCTGCTCATCCGCTGACTTGATTCCATGTAAAGCATCAATCAACACGAACGCGCGCCTCAGCTGTTTCCGCCGTCGTAGGTAGGTGACAATCTCCTTTCCCCACTCATCCCTGCTTGCAAACCCATAACCCGGCATATCCAGGACCGCGAGACGAATCTTCATCTCCCCGCCTGGGCCTGCGCCTCCAGTTTCGGGATTCGAGGCAGACAGACCCCATGCGTGCATGGTGGTCGTTTTGCCCGGACGGGGTCCGACTCGATTCAGCTTGGGAGTCTGAAGGAGGGCATTCAGAAGAGAAGACTTTCCCACGTTGGAGCGACCGAGGAAGGCGACTTCGGGTGTGAGTTGGTGTTTGAGGCCGTGGTTGGAAGAGTCTTCGGCTTCGTTCCGTTTGCGCCATTCGCTGGCGGTCCAGAGCTTGCGCGGCGCATGTGTCTTGATGAAAGAGGTTGCTGCTTCGAGCTGGGATTCTGTCGGCGGTATGGTGTCCCAGTGGTATGCTGGTTGAAGGGGCTTCGGAGCGAGTCTTAGTGATCGGGATTGACGTCTGGAGCGGAGAGAGGCGAGGAAGGATAGTCGTGCTCGCAGTCGGGCGTGGAGCAACAGATTACATGACGGGCAGGTGGAGGGGGCCATCAATGGGACCGAGGGAGGTTTCTGATCCAATATAGGCACTCGACCAAGGACGTTTATTCCCCGGCCATCTGGAGCGCCATGTGAACGAAGATTTCATGATAGAAATTCTTGCCAAGCACCGTCTCCCAAATTTCCCAAACGGGGCAGAAATGCATACAGACCAAACAGACCAAACGGAACCAAACAACCCCTAGCCTTGCACAATAGGATGCACGTCTGCTGAACGTCTTTAGAAGAGGATCTTTCCATTCGGACGTGTATTCTACTCTAATGAAATTTACATACATCACCCTGTCTTCAAAATGGCAGAACCACTATCCATCGCAGGATCCACCGTTGGCATTGTCTCATTTGGCATCACAGTATGCAAAGACCTTGTTACCTTCGTCGATCATGTCAAAGATGGAAAGAGCGAAAAGTCTCAGATATCGAGCCGAATGGACCAACTGGCAAATTGCCTTGGACAACTCCAGTCGGTTGTGGACGCAACCAAGAGCCCAGATGAGGACATAATATCCTGCGCTGACCCGGCAATCAATGCTTGCGCGACCGCCCTCGAGAGAGTACGGGAGAAGTTACCTTCCTCAAGCCAACAGAGTGGCAAGGGGAGCTTCTCCTCCTATGTGAGAGAGTGGAAGACTAACCTCGCGTATCCTTTCCGACGGGGCGAGCTATTGTCTCTCAAAGAAATGGTTGAAGGTTTCCAACAAAATCTTCTCGTTGCCTCGGCAGCACTTCAATTGTAAGTTCCATCTCTGCCTCACCTGTTAGGATATTATTAGGCATAAATTGACTGCGCCTTAGAGCTCAACAACAACGCAATCATGACCATGTGAGCCTCGAGCTTGCCAGCATCTCCCGCTTGATGATAGAAAATGCAACATCAATACAAGATGGTCACACAAATCTACGATCGGATATCGAGTCTATTGGAGATTCTTTCCAACCTGTTGCCGCCGATATGTGCGTCATCAAGGAACATATGGCCCTGCTCGCCGGTTCCATCACCCGGATGGTCTGGTCTTATTAGAGGCTTGATATGACTTCTATAGCTAACATCAAACAGGAATCAAGATTAACTGATACTACTCCTGACACCTGTACACCTTCCAGCATACGAAAGGATGCACGTCGGCTGGACCAACTGCACCGTCGCCTTGCTTCGACAAATTCGTCTGCCGTGAATCGTCACGTAAATAAAATTTTACCCTGTCAATGCAGACCCACAACTCAATCAAGAACCCTCTACAGCTGGGAAATGTGGAGTTTGCGGCCATTCTACATCGCTCAAGAGACTTCCTTTGAACATGAGAAAGACTGTCTATACTCGGCATATTCAGAAGCTCGGAAAAATTTGCAACTACGTCTCTCATTTTGTACTGCTCTTTTTAGAAGCAAAGTCCAATTGAACATTCAACTATACTATGGAGCTGGGATGTTCGGTGTCAGCCTACCTTTACGGATTCATCGGATTGTTCCAGAATCCTCACCAGCCTTTTCACTAATATCCAACCTCCACAATGACATTAAGATACCATATGTAGGGGAAGTCTACATTAGCCGGCTGCGAGAATTCTTCGAGAAGAGGGATGCAAGCCCCCATGATCGACTCAATGACGGGCAGACTTTATTAAATGTACGTTTGAAATATAGAGACAGCGCATAGAGCCTCTGAGAAGTGTGACTGATTAAGGCTAGGCCTTATGTATGGAGGTCTGGAAAGTCTGGTTTCTCAGCCCATACAGCGCAGTACTTCCTGGAGGCCGAACCTTGGGCGAAGCACCTATTATAGATTTGATACCTTTTTTGCTCAAAGTTATGGGAGATACAGCCCTCGAGCTCAGTGACCGTGGCATGTTCGTGCGATGATCACAGATTTGAAATTCCTGGCTAACGTCTGAGTAGCAGCAGCCTTTATCTTTGACGCAGAGGGTTAATCCCGGCCACACCGTCGCACCATGCCCTTAACACAGAGCTCTTTCAACCAGAATATTCACCTTACAGAGCGACAATGAAGCAACTGATTCAATACGGAATTTTTGAGGAAAACAGCTTCTGCAACGATTTTGTGTTCTCGATGTTGACCAAGTCGCTTAAAGGACTTCGAGATGTGATCAGTCGCAACCCAGACCTTTTTGACCATACTTCGGGATATAGCTATAATGGTCTTGTGGCAATGACGGCTCTTGGATGGAGAGACGGTTGCCAAGTGCTGCTAGAAACTGGGGTCTCATATTCCGGCAAAGATGATGATCTAGAGGATCGTCTCGGTGAGTTACTGTACAATGCTGTGCTGTCAGAGGATACAAATGTTGTACAATTTTGGTTGGAAAAGAGACGTATCCTAGAGCACCAAGGGTTATCTCCCAACAGCATCATCGAAACGGTTTTAAGTCGTTCGATTCCCAGTATCAATATTCTTATCATCCTTGTTAAAGAATTGGTGGAGCAACGTCGACGACTCAAATCACTTGCGAAAATCAACTTGAGAAACAATAAAGATTTCTTTAGGGAAGACAGGGAGCTCGACGCCAATGCTCGGACTATTTTCGATGTGCTGGTGCAGCAGTGTGTGGACGTTACTACTTGCCTGCGCCCCGTATTGCAAAGTGTTTATCATACCTTTCGTCCGCATGTGGGAGTCGCGGAGCACCTTTATAAGGCGGGATTCCGTGACGTCAAAGCGTCAGATTTTGACCAAATCAGTGGCGCCATTCCACCACTGATGTGGAATGCTGCTGCCATTGAAGAATATTCTGATGAAGAATTTCCTGATGCTTTCGCTATCTGTGAATGGCTCATATCGAAGGGAGCAGAGCTAACTGAGACTTGGCCAGATTCGAATACCTCTGCCTGGAAGTTGTTGAGCTATCAAGCTGCTCGGTGGATACTAAGATCCTTGGGTCTTGATTTGGACGAGTTCGAGAGATTTAATCCAACATCGAAAGAAGCAATCATTTTACAGTTACTGAGCAATGCCCACGTGGATGGTTGCATTTGTGCCTGCAGCCGCCATGGTTGCTCTGCCTTGTCGTCCTTCATCAGGGGCGCCATCGAGCGAAAATATGGCTGGGTTGGCAATCGAACCTTGATTTTCATATTAGCATCATGGGTGGCACCCGTCGTACGAAGCCACCGCCGTCTCGCCACTGATTTCCTTCGGGCTTTGACATTCTGGCAGCTTGGCATAAGACACAAGTGCTGCAATATTGCTCCTCTCGCCGAAGGAGATGGCCCGTTTTCAGGATTAAAAGGCCCGTATTCAAGATCGAAGAGATGGTTACCAGGATCGAGGAGCTGGTTATTAGGATCGAAGAGCTGGGTATTAGGATCAAAGGACCTCTATGGTAGCTCTGTAGAGTTTACCCACGAAGTATCACTTGCTCCGCGATATGACTCGGCCCAACTGGAAGAGATTATGGAAGAAGACCAGCATCTCGTCGATCGGTTAGAGGACTTGATGACACTATTCGAAGCTGCATATAACAGGCTGGACCAAGATATTCTAGACTTTGTCATGGGCTTCTGGAGCGAGAGAATGTTACAAGAGCTTCAGGAGCAAGCAATGATTGATATTCAAAAGTACGGTGATGGTCGGAAGCAGCTTGGGATTGGGCAAGTTATATTCGATCCTTCGGAAACAGGCCTTATTGGGAAAGTGGATCTCGACGACAGGTTGGAGGATTTTGGCAGGAACCTAAACCCAGGATCCGTGACATCGTACCTTGTGTTCCTACGCCGGACGAGCAGGATCAAACCTCTATCTGCGAGGATGCTAGGGAGGAGATATCCGGAGAGCCAGCACCAGAGAGTCTGCAACCTACGGAAGAAGTATGCAGACTCCTCATGTGATACCAAGATATCGAAGAGTGTTCGTGTCAGCTGTATTTCGGCTTATCTTTGGCACGAGGCTCAATTTGCCACTAAACGCTCGCTTGCCCCGGCTATTTGGCGTGGTTATTTGCTTCGATTCTCCACGAAACCTCTCATCACTTCCTTTGTACGCTTTTCTGCGGTTTTGTACGCTCATTTACGACCCGATACGGCCTTCTACTCTACGGTGGGCGACGGTGGCAATGGTATAGCTATCGACAGCGACGTTATTTGGGTACAAATATGCTCTTTTTGTCCATAGAACTCCATACAATCAACTGTTTCCCACACTGTCTTGGCACTCCGCATGAGATTCTTCGGTTGATGGATATGATAAATGACGAAGGATGTCGGTACGTCTGAGCTGCGATTTGTTAGACATCTGCGGCCTAACAGAAAAAGGCGTAGAAACGACGAGAAACGGAGCAAGTTCTGTGTGTGAAAGTGTGTAGATTCTATCCATGCCCTGCAGGTGGCTATAAGGCCTCTATTTGGCGTGCGACAGGCGTACGGCAGACGCATAACACGATTAAAGACTTATTCGGTTAAATATGAAAAATAGGACTTTTAATTAGGAGATATAAACAATTTACTTAATAATATAATTAGTTTCCGTTGCCGTTGGGCAACATTGACTCTTCACCTCTAGTCAATCATTCTATTCCCGACGTACCATAGCATAAACCTTCTCCCGCTCATGGGGCTCGTTCATAACTTTGTGGCCGATGACGTCCTCGATAGTCTCGTCAGTGAATGCTAGATCTTCCTCGACCGGCACAGTGTCCTTAATCTTCAGAATCACGACCGGAAGCGCAATGACCAAGCTGCCGGCAAGGAGACCCCAGCATGAAGCGAACAGGTTCATATATGGGGTATTCAACCCATCCAAACGCCAGATGATAGCTGCGCCTGCTGACTGAATGCCCTTGTAAAAGCCTGCGAAGTTGGCGAGCTTGCGACTGTTATTACTGATGGCGCCCATAAACCTGGCTGAGGTCAGCGAAGTCCAATTGCCATCCAGACTCAAAATTGCTTACCAGTACACGCACGTCTGCCATGCTGCGTCATAGAAGCCGTAAGAGATGTACAAGAACATCGGTCCAACATAGCCACTCGATCTCCAGTCATATACAAAGATATTGCCCGATTCAGTGTCTCCGCGAGTGTACTTCATCTGGAAAACGTACCCTCCCCCCCAGACCGCGAAAGTGAGAACAAACATAACGACCCATGCAGCTTTTGCTCGTGTAGTCCTCCTGACATTAGGGAAGTCTAGTGCAAAGCCGAAGACGAGAGCTCCAAACATCTGAGCAAGCCAGTAAAGCGTGTTGTTAAGTGCGCGAGCACGCACGGTGAACCGCGGGAGATTGACATTGTTGAATTGATACGTGTAGAACCAATTGGAGGCGAAGAACATTGGAAAGAGGAGTATTACGTAGGGATCACTCAAAAGTGTCTCCCAAAGGCCGAGGATCTCCGTCTTCCACGTCGGGTGCTTCATTAGAATAATTCTAGACCCATCACGACGCACGACATGCTTAGCATCAACCAATGTCCAAGATAGGCAGGCTCCAAGGAATGTGAGGATCAAGATGCCGATATAGGTGCCATCGCTGACAGTGTCGTTATGGTCCTTGTGGAAGTTCAGGCCAAGTTCAACCTGGCGTCAGTATTAGCTTGCTGTGTTTGACTTTATGTTGAACGATTCAGCTCACCAGACTGCCGATGACAGCCCCCATATTGAAGATTATCCAGAACCAGGAGATGAAGCGGCCTTTGAGTTTCTCCGGCGGATACGACATCATAATCGCGCCTTGCGCAGCCCAGAGAATGCCTGCACAGCATCCAAGCAAGACGCCGGAAAAGACAACGTAGCCAAAGTTCCGAGTGTGGTTGTAGCATAAATATGAGCTGATGTAGACACAGTATCCAAGGCCACCGAATGAGAGGGCGAATCTGATACCGAGGGCGTTGGTGACGGTGCCAGCGAAGAAACCGACAACGGCGAAAGTAGCGTAGAGCGCGGAATTTGAGGCGGTACTAGCATCAGCATCTTGGTCAAGCTGTCCTCCACCTCCAAGGCCATTGATGGCGTTGAACATGCCTTCACGGAGTCAGTGGCCTAAAGAAAGATATTTGTGTTGCGCGCGGCCCTACCTGGACACAGAAAGCACACGAACGACACCAGAATCAACTGCGACTCAGGTGAAGCATACCAAGGAAGCGTGATGGGCCCGAGTTTCAACTTTTTGTACTTCCATCCTGTGGGGATTTTGACCTGCCCAGCTTCGACCAAGTGAGCTGGCGATTGCGTAGTCGTGGTTGTTGCACCTTTCCCAGCTTCCTCCATGGAGTCGTATGAGTATTTTCAATCGAGTAACGGTGCAGCTGCTATCAGTATAACTTCCTATCAATGACGTAGAAGTTTGTCAATGCTGCTTGATGAACGATAGTAACACTTTAAAGACCCTTTTTGGAACAAATTAACAAGCGGAAGACGCGGAATTGAGAGGAGGCTGAGCTGATCAGCTGTTTATACTATGTGTAGCAGCAATAGCCAAGTAATTGGGAGACCACAAGCCCAAGCCTGCCTTCTCCTTGAAGACGCAACAAGGCAATGCGGTGGCTCATTGAAAGCCATTTTATTCGTTGTAAGATGCTAGGTAAGGCCCGACGAGAGGTAAATATAGATAGTACTTGCTGCACCGCAAAAGTACCTGTCCGCATTAGCGTACTCGAACAGGGGTTGTAGAATGCCTGAATTAGCATCGTCGATCTTCTTTATTTGATGTGGCTACTATGGTAGGAGGCACAAATACTGTTAGCTCCAAGCTAGAAATTTTGTATTTGACCAAATCATTACGAAAGTACATCTTACTTGAAGGGTACTAGTCACCATAGCTCCAAGCTTCAGGCCAATCATTGCGATTCTGAATGGGCTAAGATCTCTGGGCTCTTCTGAGTGGGCTCGGTTTTGTATCCAAAACTAGCCGTTACTAGCCGACGCTAGCAATACTTATGGCTCCTACCGTAGTACATCTTCTGTCCAAGCAGCTTGTTAGAGTACAGTTTGGTGGGGGACATTCTCAGAGCTTTCTAGCTCTTATAGAATCATCTATTTCCTTCTCTCCGAATATTGAGTGCTGGTTGGATGAGGCAGCCGTTACGGAGGGGATACCGATGACACAAAATAAGAGATCCAGAGGTATCCTCAAAAAAGCTTGTTCGCTATCTAGAATATTTGATTGGCTTTTATAGCGACGGCGTGATGTGTAACGTACCGTTCAGCCGTTGAAAGCACTAATCGAGTGGAGTGCTCAATTGGGTGTGTGTCTATGGAGTAGGTAGCTAGAAAATCTAAATACAAGGTTTGGATGGAATAGCTCTGCAGGCGCCAAGGCCCTACACCGTGCACCGAATACTACGGGCGGCCTGAAGTAATGTTAGCTCAGTGCTAGTATCTTTACATGTAAACCCTCTCTGTACAGAACAGCTATGCCTTGAAAATAGTTAGATGTAATGATTTGACTCATCAGAATGGATGCACACAGATCAAGCTTTGAGGTGGCGAATTATAACACTAGATTGTTGTAATAAGAACTAGTTGCTCTTAGCTCCAGACTAACATCACTTCAGGCCCCCTGTTTATGTCTTGCTGACAGTATGTAGTACTCCTCGCCGCAGACTCTACTATGTAACAGATGCCCACACAAATTTGGTATCATACGACTCCTTAGGCTCTTGTGAGTCTTGCAGCTACACCGTTGGAGTTTTGTATGGAAGTATCCATGACACATTATCGACTTTACGTATAAGGCCAAGGTCGAGGCTCGCTAAATGCATTGTCCTGGAAGGCAGAATCTAAACATCTACTAACTAGTAGCTTCGGGTGGAACTTGCATATGACCCTGCACCACTTGGATCAATAACGCCTAGGAAGGCCAAGAGGTGCAGATACATGGACCTTACGAGGAGGATTCCTAGGGAATTCCCTCGGTAATCCGGTTGTTTTAGCGCATGCTTCGCGCATGCGGGGAATTTACGGTCTATCGTCCTGACATCCTGTCTCAGAATCCGTACTACGTAGACTTTTCTACTTCACTACTACGTAGTATGAGCGAATGCCAATACTTCGTAAGGTACTATCTAGTAGTCTAAAAGCTGAATGCCAATTCCAGGTATGAAAAGTATTAATTGATTAGAGCATTATCATCTGCTAAATCAACTTAAAAATTGGGTAATTTGTGTATATAAACATTTATTCTTCATGGCGCTTTCGCCGAATCAGGAGTAAGTTAGAGCAGATAAGTTAGGTGCTGAGACAACTTTACGTTACTAGTAGTATGCAAAATTTCGCTTGACCAATTGAGAATGGCTTCAGTCCCGACCTTCGTCTGTGGAGGCCTTGTGGTTTGCGCACGGGTGAGTGCGATTTCTTATCTCCCGTGTTCGAATCCTAAGGTAGGTTCATTCGGCTGTGGTTGCTCCATGGCACAAAAGGCTGTGGCGCACCTTACCAACCCTCTCTCTCAAGCCGTCTCTCTCGGTTGTAGCCAGCAATTCCTGGGCTTTACATCTTGCGTTATGTGATTTGGGCTCATCGCACATTGCGGTGGGTATTACCCTAGCGCATTCACCCCTGACCTCAGCGCGCACATCAATCAACAGCTATGGTGGTCATCCCGTCTACAGCTGTGGGCACAACCTCTGCCGTCCTCGCGCTGAGCAAAGCAGCTTGGAAGCTAGGAATTTCCCTCTCGAAACTCGATCATGACACCAGAATCGTTGATACCACGGTCGATAATCTGGCAAGGAAGGTCAAGTCGCTTGGCAATGAATGCGACCTCGTATATGCTGAGTTGGAAGGGATAATAAGTCAGAGTCAGATAGGATCCGCGCCGTATGATATCGATGACAGGATATGGAATTGTCTCGCAACGCAAGTGGAGGAGACTAGTCAAACAATACAAGAGCTGGAGCTGTTTGTCAAAAGTGTTAGAGGGGAAGACTCTGGTTTCATCGGTCAGGCTCAGCGTCAGAAGAAGCTGGACAAAACCAAGAATCAGATTGCGAGTATCCGGACAAAAGTCTGCAGGCACACCGACAACTTGCGTACTACGCTACTGTTGATCCATACGTGAGCCTTGCTTCTGATTGACGTATGACAAAGCTAACCCTATCCGCAGGGTACTTGCGCACATTGCGCCCTGTCAGGCTGATCAGGGGCTTGCTAAGGAACTGGACAAGTTGCAAGATGTGGTTGAGAAGCTGCAGAGATCATCGGAAGCCAATCCGCATTCGCGACCTTCTCATACTGAGGCCACTCTATTGCAATGTACACGTGAAGTTATCGTGAAAGGTACGACCGTGTACGAGGCAAGTCTCGCTGCGCAGTCCATCACTGGAGGCCGAGGAGCAACAAACAGTAACATTCGCGCTGTAGAATGGATGAGTACCCTGGAGTCTATACGCCGGGACGAGCGACTTTCGGATCCTTCAGACATGGTTTCCAACGTCTCCTCCATCTTTTCTGGGAACGAAACGTATACCGTCGTGACGAGCGCAACTTCTGAGCAAAGTGCTGTGCAGGAAGACGAGGCTGTTGATGCAGTAGGTGACGACTCTGATGATGATTTGGACACCGATCTTGCCAAAGCAGCGCTAGACACCGGCGCAAAAGCTTTCGAAGCGCAAGAATGGGAGGAGGCCGATTCTCTTCTTCAAGAAGCTCTACGAATACTGCAACAGCTTCCGAAGCAACAACGAGCATTCTGCGACATCTTCGGTCTGCATTATAAACTTGCTGTCTGTGCGTATCACACGCAAGAGCCCGCGGATGCAGAAGAAGCTCTTATGGGCCTGGTCCAACAGTCAGCGAGCTCCGATGAACAACGCAGGTGCATTTCCGATGCGGCACACCTGCTGTCGCATCTGTACATCCGCATGGGCCAGGTCGACCGTGCACGATCTGAATGTAAGAAGGCTTTACAGACCCGAAGGCGATTACTGGGCAAGCGGAGCGACGCCTCGTTGGAATCAACGGCGCTTATGGCACACATATATGTCCTGCTCAACAACCATGCTCGTGCTAAATTATGCCTTGCTATGATACCAGAAGCACGCAGAGACGCAGTCCTAAAAATTGTCGAAGAGTCACTGGGCACGAAGTTTGAGCATCTTGATTCTTCGTCACCACTGACTCGGTCGATCTCTGAAGACTCAGATCTGGCAGTTAAGCGCTTTCAGAACAGGCTCCCCGCATCTTCCCTCGTGCCCATGGAAATCTCTTGCCATGGCCCTGTATCTACGATGATCTCGCCGTCGCCAACTGCTGGTCTTCGGCAATCACACCAACGCATCCCGTCAAGTCAGGCAGGTTGGGAGGATCTGCAATCCGTTACGGTGGCATCTCGTTCACCGACAGAGGAGGGAAGCGAGTCGAGAGCCACGGTGAAAGAGAGACTGAATGAAGATCACACCGCAGACTCGGAAGCACTTGGTGGCGCAGCTCTGAGCCTGGGCGAATCTCCAGAGGCAAACAAAACCTTCAGGCGCAAAACCCTGTCTCGGAAGGAGATACTCGACAAGATCGGATGTCAGCCAAGAGATCGAATCGAAGACGCTGTCTGTGACGGTGATCATTCAGCTCTCGCCAGTCTTCTCAACGGGAAAAGGGAATTTTGGCGGTCAAAGTTGCGTAAGCGCGGCCGTCCAGAACGTGTAACAGCGCTGCACTTCGCCGCACTCTTCGGCGAGATCGATATGGCGCGGCGCCTCCTAGACTCAAGTTTTAACATCAACGAAGTCCCGCATGGATACTCAACAAGCCTCACGCCCTTAAAATTTGCCATCGGCGCTCGACAAGTGAATATGGTTGAGTTTCTGGTTGCAAACGGCGCCAAGCCGTCTGAGCCAGATTCATGGTCGACTTTGGCTGGGCAATTGATGAACCGCTCATGGCTGATGAAAACCATGTCGGAGGCTGAGAAGGAATATGTCCCAGACCGGATAACTGCGATCTTGAGGATCTTGCTTAAGCATGGGTGGAACGTGAATGCGCCGTTCGAGACGTCCGGCGGAACAGTGCTTCATCAGGCGGTCACTTTTTGGACGGGTTCATATACGTGGGATCTGAATCTCCGCGCTGCCGTGACTTTGTTCTTGTGCCAACGAGGTGCAGATCCTTTCCAAGCAAATAAAGAAGGCAAGACACCCTACGATATGGCTTTGGCTTCCGGTCATCAAGACCTCTTGCTGGTTCTCGACCGAGGCTCGAAAATGAAACTACCAGACGACAGGCCACCGGAGCCAGTTGAGCTTCCCAGTGAGCTGCCCAGTGAGCTTAGTGATGTGATATGAATGTTATTGACTGTAGTTATGGTCACCATTTACCAGAGCATGTGTCATACTGATATGCTGAGCAAGAGTCTTTCGGCATTTTACTTGCCACAATACATGGTCTCGATTGTACAGCCTAGCAGCTACTTCTTTATTTGATGTACTTGGCACGATCAGCGAGTCTAGGAGCCATGGGAATCAATATAGATGAAATCTATTCACTTGGACCGCAAGTTCTGGTGGTCATACATCTTTTGGACGGCATGTTATCAAAACTGTCTGAAACTCTCTTGCCGCTTAGCCTCCGACACGAACAGGCGACGGCGCTCGTATATCTTGAAGACCCGCGGTTTGTCTGACGATCGACAAGCCATTACACGGGTATTAAGTGTTTCGGAGAGGTGCCGCTCCTTATTGCGAGTCCGAGCCGGTGTCTCTGTTTTTATGACTTATACCCGGTTCACCTTGGTAACAAACCACAAACAGATCCCCGCACCAAAGAATATGCCATTGCAAGGGTCTGGATTGATGAACTGAACGCATGACTGCTTAATGGGGAGTGACGGCTCAATGGCGTAGCAAACTCAATACTGTCCATGAAGTGTTGGATTGTCGGACCGAATGAAGCCGGGAAACTGTGAACGTAAGTTTCGCCGAGTACTTACTGGAAAACCATAGACAACTCTCTGTTTCAACACCTCGTCCAGTCACAGGCTGAGGTCTGCAACATCTTCAAAACATACTTTGCATCCCCGTCGTCTTCTGGTCTGGTCTTGATCGCGGTTGGAACGAGGTGAACATCTGATCCGTCAGCTGGCACACAGAGGTCTGAGATAGCGTTTTCGAGCGAGGACACGATAACACTTGATAGCTGACCTGGATATTGAGCTGGCGAAGTCCAGGCAGGACTAATTTAGCCTTGCTGTACTCTCCGGCTTCATGAAAACGATAGACTTTTAACCCTCAACAAGCCTTCAGCCGTGACGCTCCAAGTGACCAGTGGCGTAACCGCAATTTTGGCCTTCGCAAAAGTGAAGCACACGAAGAGCCTGCGGCTTTGGCTGATGAAGTGGCTGTATAGAGATGGTTCCCACGAACTGATGCTCAACCACTTTCTAGCCAGGGATGGGAACAACGCGCTCCGACTCCTACAGAAGTCTTTCTAGGTCATGCAAAACAGTATTGCTGTGCAGATCTACATGGTATTTCCCAATTGCAGCGACTATGTTTTTGCTCACTTCATTAAAGGAGCCTGACGCGTCATCGCATCCTATTTATCTTCTTGTCCTCTCCGCTTGTTTGTTTAGCAACATGTATGTGTATTTGAATCTAGGCTTCTTTTTGCTTGGTCCATCGTGTTTAAGACTACTGGCTGAAAAGTGAAAATGTCATAGAAACTTAAAATTCTTCTCTTTCAGTCTATAATACAGTCAGTCTTAGTTTAGCATTCTTGTAATCAGAAGTCTCAACATGCATTAGAACACTAAGAAAACACCCTTATATCCGGGTTCCATCAGGCTCGCTGCGATCATAATATTCAACCGTCATAATGGACTATCTGATAAACACCTGGCTTATATAATCTAGCGGGATGTTAACTGTCTCGTTAAACTTGATAAGATATACGGAGTACACTCTGGCCAAGTTTTCATGTGACTTAGTAATGGAGTATAAGTAAAGTAAAGTACTACCAAGGATATATATAATAATACTACTCACCTACAAGAGCTCTCAACGCACTTCCAATTGGTTAGTCTCCTACCAAAGGCTACGACGCTTGTGGGACTGGGACCCAAAGGTAGAACGCGCTGCAGAGTGGGAGGGATGGGGCTGTTTGGATGACTGTATGACTGGGAATCAACTATTATGGTCAAGTCCAGATAAATGTAGTTGCCGTCCGTCCCCCCACAGAGTGAGATTCTGCTTGATGCATTCATATCAGAGTGATTGTGCGCTGAGGACAGCCGTGAAAAAGCTCGGATGCTAATGCCCTAGCTTCTGCATCGGGCCATTCGTGTTGGCTGTTCGTGGAGGATAGGTCCATTTGGCTAGGGAGCGGCCAGGGTCGGGCTGGTTTTTCCGGTCTCTCCTGCTTGTGTATGTGATAGAAGATATCATCCGGGTATGCATCACGACCGCTGTAGTGTCCGTATCTTCGGAAAATTTCCTCGGCCGGGTCCACTTGTTCAAGGACCAATCCTTCCAACAGATCAACGGAGGGATTTTTGGACAATGGAAGCCTGTGGTTGTTGGGGAGTAACCTCACCGGTAGGAACCAGTACGTTCTCCCGTTCCATTCATCACGGGAGATGACCATATTGGGTGTCAATGTACCATAAGACCCGAACACTGTTTCTTCAGAAGAATCGAGCCGTAGCGATATGTAAGTCTCTATACAATGTCGTTGCTCCGTGATGTCCTCTTCACGAGACTGTATGGGACAAAGCAAACCCTGTACTTGCATTCGCATGTCTTCGAGTTCTCCCGAGATATTGCATCGCGGTATCAGGGCGTGCTTGTTCAAAACTTTGATGAATAGAAACATGTATTGAGCGACTCTGTAATTCATTTGAAGAAGACTGCCTGTGAGGAAAATGCCAAGAAATATCACGTGATGCTCCGACTTGGCAGTGCTTTCTGCCGTCCGATCTATGCCGACATGGCTTGCTATGTTCGTTGTTCCTTTTGCTATTTCCGTTGATTTCTGCTATATCCGGTCCTTCCTGCTTCTCCTATTGCTTTCTACATCTCTTATGACGTTCATTGTACGGCGATAGCGGCTATAGGGACTTGCTGCTGATGACGAGGGCAATGGAGATAGCGGAACTTGCGGAGAAGAGCATTGGTATAGATAGAGAGTGATATTCGCTGTTTTGAGCAGCAGAGCAGTTGCTTTAGGATAGAAATACACGCATTTCTGTTGCCCTACTGCTGCTCCGTTCAATACTGCCACAGGCGGACAGCCAAGACCAGGTCGGAGCAACTTGTACGTCGGGCTTTGGGCTAGGCAAGTGTCGGTGCCACGTCAGTTGCCTCTCGATAGACCGCGTCCAGATGCCACTTAGACAGGTATCATTGACTATATCACTTAGATGACTTGTAATTCCGGAGAGAGCAACAATCCTATCAGAATCCTTTGAGAGTGCGCTTCCTGCATAAGCTGTCGCTATTTTGTCCCAGATGGAGAAAAATTCGTCTACATATATGTCAGTACCATTTGGACATATGTCCTTAGCGATGATTCGGATGGGCGATAGTGAGTTGAGTGTTGCCACTTCCGGGAACAATCGAGCAAATGCGTGGATGCCGGATGGTGATTCTTCCCAAGCAGTCAGCTCGTTACATTCCCAAAACAGTTTGTGTTGATCAAAATGTAGAACCCGCGGCGAAAGAATGCGTTCCTGGACGATCCACGCTCTTTGAAGTAAGGGTGCTCGGTTAAAGAGCTCCCAAAACGGTGGCACTTGTTCTACGAAATAGAAAGGTTCTGTATGATGTCCATAAGGAATATTAACCGTGCAGACATCCAAGATGCGTTTATCTCGGCCTCGGAAACAACCTTTTCGTCCGTCGGCGGATGCCGTCGCTGCGATGTTGCAGAGGGAATTGCTGTAAACTCTGCACATGCTGACAGATTCCCGGCGCCAGTCTTCCGGTGAGTCTTGGATAATGCATAGCGAGTCGATCCAAAGGTGGAAGACGTCCAACTCTCTTGCCACATAGATAGCATGCCGATAAGTGCGAGGCAATCTCTTAGAGCGAGTCGAGTCTTCATTGATTCCCTATTGGCCTTTTTGAGTGACACTACTAGCCTCTTGCCCCAGCAATGACTTAATGTCATGTACTTTGTGCCTTTTGCAACTTCACCCTTTTCGACAACCCGCACATATCCTTTCCCTGTGAAGCTCAGGTCAATAACTCGAGTTGGAAGAAAGTCCGCATTGCGACCACCGCCACAGGAGACATGAGTGCGAGAGCAAGTCTCAATCCAGCGGCGTGCAATGTTCAGGGAACGCTCAGAACCTGTCCATGTCCCTACTTCTCTTGGAGTGGAGAAATTTGCTGAGTCTAAATAGGCCGTATTAGCTGATTGAGGACGTAAAGTGTAAGCAGGCTAACCCCTCTGCCTTCTCATGGAAAAATGGGACCCAGTGCCCCCAATGATATCACCTTTGGAGAAATCAATAGTGATACCATACGAGAACACGGCTGTGGTTTTTGACGCAGCAGAGTCTGGTGAATCATGATCCTGGGAATATGTGCGAATAGTCCACTTAAGTGGCAGTTTACACGATGCCCACAGATGGCCCATCCCATACGTTATGGCGAAGCAGACATGGCAGTGCTTGGCTGCTTGCAGGATGGATTCTCCATTTTCATGATGCTGGATGTCCGTTCTGTCCCCTGCTGGTATAGATTGCTCAAATATAAAGCGACATTTATCGCAAAGTGATGGGTTCAGATTTGCAGCTTGGGTCGAGTTCTTGTGAGCTGTCCAGGACAGCTTCTCTGAAAGCAGATCCTCACGGTCTATTGTCATTTCACTGTGGAAATATCTGAGTGCTTTAGGGCAGAAATGTGAGTTGCGTAAAGTTACTCCGTACAACCAAGTGAGAGCAATCTTCCTTTAGCCTTAGGATGCAACGCGAACCGTGATGAAGCGGTCACGTGATATGGTTACGAAGAGCCAGTTGAGGCACTGGGTTTCGATACGCCACAGCAGCTATCTGGTAGTCTCACCAGATCCATGACCCCGGTCTTCTCAGCTAAATATGCTACGCCCTTACTTGATGTATATATATCAACACATTGGCAATATACCATCCTGCTAGTGCACTCCGGGTTGGCGAGAGATCGGTCTCAACGTGCTATTGCCTTGACTTCTCATGGAATGTTGACGAGCAGATCTGGCTTCTAAGATGCGACTTTCTCCAAGCTACGGCTCTTTGGTTGTGTGAGTAAGCGCGTCCCTAGGGGAATATTGTCATGGTCTTCCTTGAGGCAATTGGGCGAGAGGTTGT